AATCCAATTGTCTAACTAAAAAATTAAAATTAAAATATAAACAAAAACAAAAAAAATCAATATTTATTCATACTTGTTGTAAATCAGAATTCGTCCATGGAATTATTTCATTATTATTAGAATTCTTAAAATAAACATATATCACCTTGAAAAGAATTTCTTATAAATAAATTCTTACTTTATACGTATTTAAACCATATTTTGAATCAATTAAATCTTGAATTGAACCAACTGATTGCCATGCATTATCAGTTAATGGTGCAACACATTTTTCTTGTTTATTATCATCATCTTTCGATGAATTATCCCATAAAGTTGTTCGATCGATTAGCACTGATAGAGACGTTTGTAATATTTCGTTTGATAAATTTCTTTGCATTATATTGATATTGATTCATACGAATAGAACCTAAACATATAGTGATCAATCAAATATGACACAATCTATTCATAAAAATATCATGCTTTAGAAAAAAAAAAAAAAAAAGAACAAATAAACAAATAAATAAAAACAATAACCAACGTGGCGAGTAACTTAGTACTTAATTGGATAATAAGTATTTTCGAATCAGTGTTTTTTATCGATAGATGTCATCAGATAAAAAATTGAAATATGATTCGACTATTAATATCTAACATTTTAAGTGACGAAAGGATCAAACTTCACAAAAATAATAAAAAAAATGTTTGTTGTATTTGATGAGGCTTTACTTCGATTACCATCTTGTTTAGCTGTACATGCACAACTTCGTCCTAATTTAAATAAATTTACATCTGATGATTATGTTCAATATATTCAACAATTACCAGATATACATATATGTGGTATTATACGAAAAAATGAAACAGAAACAATAGTTTTAGCTTTAGCTATCTATAGAAATTATTTAACAACATATGATACACATCGTTTTGAAATTGATGATTTAATTGTTGATGAAAAAGAACGAAATCATGGTTTAGGTACAGATCTTATGAATTATTTAATTCAACAAGCAAAACAATGTCATGCAGTACAAATTCATATACATTGTGATTTAAATAATACAGATGCACATCGATTTTTTTTTCGTTTTGGTTTAATAATACCTATTTTTGAATTTTATTTAAAAAATAGTCAATTATTAGAAAGTAATAATCAAATTCAGGTTATTGATATAACGGATTTATCCGAAAATGAATATGAACAATTCTTAATTCGAGTTCATAATATCTATTTACAACTTCGACCACATTTACCAATTGATCAAAAAACATATATTGATCAAATTCGAAATATACGTCAAAATGGTTCAGTTCGAATAATAATTGCAATAAATAATAATGATAAAAATGAAGTACTTGGTTTAGCAGCTTATCGTGTAGTTTATAATATAAAATATGGTAAACATATCTATTGTGATGATTTAGTTACAAGTGAAAATCGTCGAAGTTTAGGTGTTGGTCGATGTTTAATTAATTATATGAAAAATGAAGGAAAAAAATTAGGTATTGATCAATTAACATTGGATAGTGGTTGTCAACGAGGACAAGCACATAAATTTTATTATCGAGAAGGTTTTATTATTAGTCAATTTGGATTTAAAATGTCATGTTAAATTGAATGATTTGAGCAATATCTTTTTTGTTTTTGAATCACATCTATTTATATATTTTTAATGAAAATTTTACGAGATTTTAAATATAGTAATTCTTAGTTGTGATCGAAATATGATCATTATCAAAATGATTGAAGTACGGTCGACTCAAATCGAAGAATATTAGGAACTTGGAAGTAGAAATTCAATGAGTAGATTTCTGCTCCGAAGTTTTGACTATAAACGGCGATTTTTCTGCGAGTTCTCGTCGAAAATCACGATGGCTTCACAAGGATTTTCATCAGACCCTGCATGTCGCCAGTCGCTATGACATTGTCAAAAAGCTCATTGTCCATTTCTTATGTCACTCGGAAAAACTATTAAAAACTAGAGTCCGTCGAATATAGATAAGTTATAATAGAAGGATATGAGTTCATTCTTGAGCTGCCTACTGGCAACCGATCGGTAGTTGATATTGATTCCATCTGTGGATAGAAACGCATAAACACACAAATTTGTTTATTTCATATATTCAAATCGAGCCTATCTAAAGTTATTATGTTCATTTATGAATGTGGGTGCCGATAGAAGTCTTGTATATGTCCAAAGCTACAGCTACAACCATACCTATAGGGAGCTGGAGGTCCTTCCGGATTCAAGTCTACAAAAACATGGCCTTAGAGCTCCCTATTTACTTGATCTCATTTACATAAATACAACTGAAACTATTCCACACAATTGAACATTTGAGTATTACTGTTGGTTTAACGATTTTCAGTGTTGAATATTGTTTATCAATTAACTGTTCAATGCTCGATTCAACTAAACAAAACCTTTTATTTTATCAAGCATCGACCGATGAGAAAGTGAATAACAAGAAATAACTGTAGGATGACTTTTTTTTCCTGACAGTAGCAAATAAATAGCTAAAAAACCTTGGTCTTCACTTATTCATTTTATATACACAAAGAGTGCCAGATTATTAATGGAAAAAAAACTCGGATTTTGATTCAGATCCACAAAAATATGAACTCGCAGCTTCCTGTACATCTACATCCAAGATAATCATTGTTCAACAAAAAAAAAAATCAATACTTTGGATTATTTATGCTTTTCAATAGTATTCTCCTGCCATCTATAATACCATTTATTACGCTCTCAGTAATATATTGGTATTATGCTAAGCAATAGAATTCCTTTTCTGTACTGTTGTATGTATAGTATTGTATTGTAGTTAAAATAGTGAGTGAACTATCCATTGAATTACTATTGTTAAAAATAAAACTTTTAATTTTTCTAATATATAAGAATTTCATCTCTTTCAACAAATAGATTTGATTTATCTATTTAATATTTAGATTAATTTAAAATGGATATTGCAATACTTCCGAGTAATTTCAATAAAAAATAAACAGGTTATAAAATTCGATTAAATTTTGAAAAAAACAAAAATTTCATTCAACAAAAACTACACGAACTTTTTTTTATTTATATATTAACAATATTCTTGGTGGTGATAAAAAAATTTCAACAAAATTCATGTCAAGTATGGACGAAAATCTAGTATGTTAGAGATATATTTTGAGAATTATAGTGATGATCTAAACAGGAATATTCATTGTGATATGAATTGAAAAAAACCAATAAAGAAAAGAGTCATATTCTAAACGGATAAAACCAAGCTTTATGTCTTTTTTGGTTAAATAAAACTGATTCAAACACAAAAATGAGTAATAGTATAGTCATCAGTCTTTCATCATCATTGAGTATAATTCTACATCAATATATAAGAGTAAGATAAATATTATGTTGTTCATTCGTTATGTAAAATTACTAAAAGAATAGATAAGAAAAACAAATATAATAAATCATTCTTTTTTTTTCTATCGATTAAAAGATTATTATAATACATTGTTTGATTTGTGTAAATCTGATATTATTTATAGAAATTTCTCAAATAATGATCTACTGTAAAAGAACTAATATTTACATACTAATTGATAAATTGAAATTCTACAGTTTTTCTTTTCGAATAGATTATTACTGTATAATTAGTTTTCACTTGAGATTATCGCCATTCGATCAGTCACGATAAGTAGTAAACAAAGTCTGTTTAAGTTTGATTTTGTCTATAGATAGACTTTATAGTCACTAGAAACATCTCAAAGTTTGAACTCGGACAAACATATCTATATTGATATATCATCTTGTCATAGAAATCAGAGATAGGATCGGTTCAGATTTTTCAAGACTTAAACTGGAATTGATTTGGGATATTGAGAACCGAGTCGATAGGATCTCTGCATGAAACACAACTCGAAACAGATGTTTCGTTAAAATGAAAATATGTTCGATTTCATCTCGAAATTCGATCATCCTGGCTCTCAGCGATCCTATGCTTAAATTATAAAAATCGAGTAAAATATATATAGAAACTGATGAGACAGTTGGGAATGTTCCGTCGTTAATGATATTAGTTCTGAATTAATATCTTATAACAAGTTCAACTTTTCGAATTCGTTACTATAAATCTTATTTGTTTATTTATGGTAGATTGGCTATGTTCTTCGACTATGATGATCGAATAAAAATTTGAAAATTTTATTAAGTTATGGAATATCTATCGAAATAATTTTAACCGTTCAAAACTTCAACAGTTTATTGAATCAATAATTGTAAAATATCAAATGTTATAGCTTCAATTTTATTAACAATATTGTTACATTCTTTTATAAATTTTCAAAAAACATTAACACAAGATTTACAAATGATGGTATCAATATTGACCTTTTTATTTTATTTATAAGAGATATTCTACAACGAAAATAATAAGTAAAATACTTATTAACATCTATCTTCAATTGAGGGTCTCTTCCACTAAAACAAAAAATCAATATTCGTCAAAATTATCGAAATTAAGATAAATATATTGTAGGATAGCACGAGGCCTGATCTTTTATAGGGATCTCCTTTTTTGCAGAAATTTGTTGATGATTTCTATCATCATCTACCTAAAAAATTAGGCTTTGTTACTATTATATAGAACAGTAAAAATTTCATACAGTTTGAATGTATTTGACTCAAGATCGATTTTTGAAAAGCTCATTGAAATTAACAACATGTTTTTATCCGAGTTACTATTACGAAAAAAAAATCGAAAGATTTTGGGTATTAATGTATATGCCAGTCAAAAGAACTTTTCAGAGTCGAAAAAATTTGACCTCATAGGGTTCTAAATAGATTCACGTGTTCTGTGTAGGCAGAAATGTCATTTGGATTAATCAAAGCTGTTGTTGGTGAATCATACGAGTTTCGAGATTTCTTTTTTTGGTAAAAGACAATTAACGCTCTTCGAATAGAACGAGAATTTTCTCAATTATAAAAATTTTTATTACAAACATTTAATCCATTAGGAATATATGAGAACATATTATAAAGAACTTTTTTTTTTGTGTAAAATGAATTGTAACTCTTGATTGTTTATTACATCATAGAAGATGACATTTTCTTTTGTTCACTATTAACTATAGTTACAGTCAATATACGTGATCGACTTAAAGTATCCAATATGAAAATCGATCGATAGAAATTTTATTGTACAATATGTTATTAGTGAAAAAATAAAGGTCAAGGTGTTAAATATGGTTATCAATTTTTACGAATGAGATGTTTTATTTATTTGAATAAAAAAATCTTTTTTTTTGTTTTTGTGCTATAGTTATTTTAATGTGTATTTTATCCATTTAAATATTTTAGATATAATTATGGCTGATATTCTCTTTGAAGATATATTTGGAGTTAA